TGAAGCGACTCTCTTTGCTCAAAGTTTTGCGATACCGCATGGAAGTAAACACACCTTGTACAAAAAGTACGTGAAACCCTGTGACTTACCCGATGATGAATTTCATCCCACCCTCATAAGCCCGTCTGGAGATCAAGCGCAAACGTACGCTCTAGCGTTGGACCAGCTTCGCAGGCTTCGAAACTATCTATGCCATCAGATCAGCACTAAAAAGATTCCTAAGGCAAGTTTTGATCTGATAATGCAACGTTGTAAAGATGCCTTTCATGCACTCGGTCAAAGTGTTTCTAAAATTGAGGAGATTGAAAAGCTGAGTGAAAACGACTTTCCAAGTGTCAGACGTCGACAGCTGGAAGAAGAACTAAAGAAAGTTCTAAAGAAGGAAGACGATATAATGGCAAAAGTGGATGATGTCGGGTCGGACGTGAAAAGCATGAAGGCAGAAGTATTAGGCATGACGACAAAAGTGGAAGATGTCGCGTCAGATGTGAAAAGCATTAAGGCAGGATTGGACGATAACAGGTCAATCTTGAGAGATTTGGTAGAGCTTTTCTCTTGTAGATCAGCTTCTACTACTGAACAGAATCCAGAAGTGCAATGTAACTACCCAGCAGCGCAATATACCTCAGCAGGCACCTCAGTAGAATACTATGATATCAAAGGCTCTAATTATTACGACCAAGGCAATTACGAGCAAGCAATTCTGGCATTTCAGACGGCCTCGGGCATGAGAATATTAGATCCGAATGGCGAAACAAAAGACTCAGCTTGGAGCCTCGGTAACCTTGGCGCTGCGCAACTTCGCGCTGGAGATTTTGACGGAGCTTTGAAAACTCTACAGAAGGCCCTAGGAATTGTCAGGAGACATTCAGCGGATGACGACAAAACCGCTGCGATTCTAATTTTCCTTGGATGCGTTCATTTCATGTTAAAAAACTACAAATCAGCTTTCGAGACATTCCGAGTTGCAGCAGACATTAGAGCAAACGTCCTTGGTGAACATGAGGACACGGCCTGTACCTACCTATGGCTTGGTGTTGTACATATGTGCATCGGGGATCTCGACAATGCCTTGAAATCACTGCAGGAATCTTCAAGACTATGTCAGAAACTTAAGACTAACTCTAAACCTTCTTCCCAACGCTTTCCCTACTTGGCGGAAGCGGACACCTACCACCTCCTTGGTGTAGTATACCTTCGCATGGGAGACCTCTCCAAGGCTTTGGTATTTTTCCAAAAGGAGTCTCAATTGAAGAATACGATTTTAGGAGAACACATCGATACTGCCACAAGCCTTAGCTTCCTTGGATCGGTTTGTATGGAGATGGGAGATAGTCATTCAGCCGTTGAGGCATTCTTGATAGCGGCAAACATGACGACAAATCTTCTTGGTAGGGACAAAATTACCGCATTCACCTACTATTGTCTCGGTAAAGCGCAGCGTCAACTGGGAGACCTCTTAGAAGCTTCAATTTCCCTTCAAATAGCAGCAGACATGAGATCCAATGTGCCCAATGGTTTTGATGAAGAGACGGCCCGCTACTTTAACACGCTTGGTCTAGTTCAGCTCGACATTAAAAACTGGGAAGGAGCTTTGGAGTCTTTTAAAAAAGCTGCCCACATGAGGATGGATTTACTTGGGGATCACCAGGAGACGGCCTCCTCCTATCACAACCTTGGCGAAGTACAGGCTTATATACCAGACAATGAAGGAGCTTTATTTTCTCTAAAGAAAGCGGTGAGCATAACAGCTAAACTTCATGATGAAAGTGAAATTGCGGCCTGTACCTACAACAACCTCGGTATAGTGCAGCTTCGAATGGGAGACCTTAACGGAGCTTTAGAATCTTTGCAGAAAGCTTCACAATTAAACGATGAATTGTTAAGGGACCATCCCTATACCGCATCTACCTTTCATAACCTAGGATTTGTTCTTTTGGAGATTGGGGATTATCACAACGAGGCAGCTCTTGAAGCATTCAAGAGAGCGGCCGACATTAGATCACATCTGCCTGGTGTTCCAGTAAAAGACAAGGCTTGCACTTATCACAAACTTGGTGTAGCACAGCTTCGAACAGGAGATCTCAAAGGAGCTCTAAAATCTCTCCAGGAAGCAGCAGACATAGGCTCAGATCTAGCGATCGTTGATCCTATAAATATCGCATCGAACTGCTATTGGCTTGGACTTGTCCAGCTTGACTTGGGAATGAACAAAGACGCGTTGTATTACCTGAAGAAGGCAGTGGATATGCGATCAAAATTGATGGGTGAAACGGGAGATGAAGAAACAGCAAATACATACCATAACCTGGGTATAGCCCAGATGAGATTGGATGATTTCGAGGCTTTAGAGTCTCTAAGAAAAGCAGCAAATATGTTTTTTCTTTTGTTCGGTGATGATAAACGTACAGCGTGCAGTTACCACGAACTCGGTGCAATGCAGTTGCGGAAGGGAGACCTCACCGGGGCTTTAGAATCTGTAAATGAAGCCTTTCGAATGCGATCGAAACTATTGGGGAACTATCATCGTGACACAACTGGAAGTCTAAGTCTAATAAATCAGATTAACCGCGAGCTGAGATGGTACCATCCGTGATGCGAACTGTGTTTTAAAGAGAGGCGGGAGAAGATTAAAGGCGACTTCTCCTCCGTTTTCAGCCCTCTTTTGCCTGCTTGTAACAGGCTGGCCGACGACACAATCCTAAGGAACAATCTGTAACTGAGACAATTCATTCTTTGCGATGGTTTGTCTTCATTTGCCACAATAAATGCTGTCACAATTATTTGCTGAAATTGTGAGAAGTCTCGTATAAGTACCAGCTGGGAGTGCTGGCGTTAAGATTTATGAGTGCCTGGCAGTGACTCTGATTTTTAAACGCAAACGTTGATTCAATTATGGCTTGTAAACGTGTTATTCCGCAAATCGTAACCTGAGACTATGATAGACGTGCCAAGAATCCTTTAAAATGTGGGCAGGGGTGTCGAGAGAAGGTCTCTGTTCAGACCCTTTCTTGACAAGCGACTTAAAAAACTGATATAAAGACAAAGTGGTCCATGATGTCACAAATCACATAGAAGTGATATCAGCCACGCAAGGAATGATCAAAGGACTCTGAAGCCAAACCACGTCTAGTTACACTGACGCAGATTTCTATGTTTTGCCTTTCCTTGCGAACTACAACGACAAGTTCATGGTCAGCTTGTGGGAGCTTGCCTTGGACGTTCTCTTGGTAGTAAAATGGGTTGAGATTGTATTAGGACAATTTATCAAACAGCTTTAAGTTATCTGAATGATTAATTGACTAAAAAGAGTGTCCTAAATAGACTTTCAAAGCAAAAGGTTCTTTCTAAAAGTTTATGTATTCAATAATAGAAACGTTTGTGAACAACTATTATAAATAGCACAAGACCGCGCATTGACTTAATTATTGTAGTTATTGATAGTCTCTTTGGTTTGCAACAGTAACTGAATGAATAGAGTACAAATTAGCTCACTACTAAGCAAGAAAATGCCCTTAAATTGTAAATTGTACATTTTATCAAGCAAAACAAAATGTGTTTCCGTTCTTCTCTACGAACAGGTAACATGTGTAATTTGGCAATCAAACAAGCTTTTAAGAGTAGACCAGTCACAAATCTAGAGGCAATAAATTTGCTGATGACCTTTTACCGATAAAAATGGTGAAGGGGAGTATTTAGTTGGTGTTAATTGTCTACTTTTCTCAATTTTATCACCCTATACATCTTTAATCATTTCATCACCATTTTATTCAGGCTCTGACTCTTTTAGACAAAGATTTTTCATCATATGATATCAATATCCCTGGCCATACCATCACGTATATGTACAAACAGCGAGCGTCGTCGTCATCATCCTCCGAATTCTGTCTTCTCCCATTTAGTTTCGCCACAGGGTGTTCAGTAGTCTCCTTCGCAGCAGTTATTAGGGTCGCCACGTAACGCTCCTCATATTGGGGGAGGAGTGTTGCAGGACGACGACTGCGAAAGAGGCTACCCATACAGTGGGTATTCAGGGAACTGGTCAAAATTATTGACCTATTGACCAATCACGCTGTGGAGACCGGTGGTGTCTTAATAAGCCATGTACTTGTTTCGCAGCAATTGACTCACAAGTATGGCGTGACTCTCGCGTAATCTTTTTCAATCAAAAGTCGGTATTCACGCAACTTGCAACAACCTGATAAGTTAAGTGGCTTTAAGGTAGAACAGTCACAACCATGCATAAAGGGGCAGTTACTCATATTTAGGGTAAACTGCAGTTTTCAAGGGATAAACAAAATGTCAATGTGAAAAGAACGCTTTGTACAAGTTACTGGCACGATTGTAGGGCTTTTGATCAGAATCTCTATTTCAAGTCTCATGAGTTAAGTTGATTATCCACGTCTTCCTGCAAGCGAGTCAGCCCATTTGCTATAGCAACGATGACAGCGACTGCAGCGCCAAAAACCTCCGTTTGCTCTTTCGTTTCTTTGTTACTCTACAACATAAATAATTCTAAAATCTTATAGCAATAACTTGCTAGAGCGGTTTTCATTTGAGTGTCGAAAAGTAATTGGTTTTGCACTTTCTACACGATGCGATTGGCTTAAAAGATTCGCGCCACCTTTTCATCCAATCAGAAGTAAAACCAAAGCCAATTGTGACGCGTTTTCCCGCGCTTTGCGTCAGCCACATGTAATTACTTCGAGTTTTGATTGGTTCAATGTATTGTCTGTGTCCTATGTGATTGGCCAGAGTAATTACTTTGGTTTTGGTTTTACGACACTCAAACGAAAACCGCTCTATTCTTAAGTTTTCGTCTAATACTTAACGCGAGATTAAGTTAAGCTCTATTCTAGAGAAATCTGCATGCATGACGCTTCCTGCTTTGGTGTATGACCAATGTTCTGACCGATATCGTCCATTCTCAGTTGATCCAGCACCTTTTTTATCCTTGGTATCTGAGGATTGACTTCAAATCCAAGCAATTAACGCTTGCGTCACAACGCAGTCCAGTGGCAAGTTTTACAACATCTGTCCTTCCAGTGTTTGAACCGGCAAAACTTGTGGAGCACAACCAACTTGCAAAAATATGTGTCCCTGCCACTTTCAAAACAGTTCTTGGATAATTTTTGAGTCGGTTTACCCCTATGCTGTGACTTTCCTATGAACAAATCAGAAGGAGCCTTGTTTGCTGAGTCTCCAAAATGGTTTTCGGGATCCTGTATTTAGCTTTGCCTAGTCACTAGGTCTCATTATTCCGCGCTTTTCAGGTGACGTGATCCAAGCGAAAATGTGAGGCCTCCCGCCCTTTCGCCTCGGACACGTCAGCGAGGTGAATTGACCGAGAGGGACTGGGAAAACGCCGTACAGGGACTAACAATATTTAGTATAATTGAAGACTGGGATTCAGGATTTTACTGGAGAACAGCGATATTAGCGATTGTAATTACAAACGACATACGGGAGATAGCGATTGTTACTATAAACGAAACTTGGTACCGAAGACTAAATTATAAAGAAGAGGAGGGATGGGACAGTAACGGAGTCGGAATTTTAAAGGGTTAAGGTAGGCGTCGAGATCCGGGATTGTGTTTATCAAAGAGATACAGGATATATCGATTTTACGACTGGTTATTTAAAAAAAAAACCAAAAAAAAAAACAATATTACGTTAAGAAAAGTAAACAGCTATAATGTTGAAAATAACTTGTCCTGTAGCATGGATACAACCGGGGATAAGTCAAATTGAGTGATCTCCCAAGGGGATCTGTGATCTAAATAGGTGTGTTAGGAAAACTTACCGTTCATTTTAGTAGGACACGCTTTGGTGTTGCATTTCTCGTAGTGATGTGGCTTGCTTTCCATGGGACAGTCCCTTGATTTTAAGCCACTTTTTATCTCATAACATTTCACTATGCGTTTCCGGGTACCATTTCCACAAGTAGCTGAACACTGAAAAAAGGGAAACATGATATTGGCGTTAATCAATTTTTTTAAAAACATTTTATACACGTACCCTTATAGATATTCTTTACCCCCTTGCGAATAGGTATTTGGCTGATGAGGATTTTGATTCCATTTTACGCTAATCTACCACAAGCTCCAAGAGGTTTTTGTTCTTTGGATCCTGTAATGCAAACGGTCTTTAAGCACTTTTTAAAATCGAGTGAATGTAGATTAAAAAATCTCAGTACTTGATTGGATATAATGTGGCCACTAAGAGGGGCCACCTGGATCGACAATAACATGATCATAAGGATCATTATCATTCAGTGATAATAATGACAATCTTTATTGAGGATACCTACTTCACCGTAAAGTGCTTTACAGAAGTGTCCTACTACTAGTATCGTGGACCCTGTAGTTTAGCGGTTGTCGTCCCACCCAGAAGTTCTTAAGGGCCTTTTCAAGGATTTGGGATCAGTGGAGAGATCACCCAAAGAGCTAAAAGAATACCAGCGTCGTGTTATGGTAAGGATTGGCTTTTAACTATTCTGTGTTCCCTTTATAACAAGTTAGAAAGTTAAAGATAGTTGCATTTATCTTCAAGTGCGTTTCACTTACTTCACCCCAAGATCCTACTTGCCACTTCGCACAAGGGACCATCGTACATGTCCTGTGTCCAAAAGGTCGAAGTGCCTTGTCACAAAAAAGACGTGATCTGGCGCAGTACACACGGCGGACTTGGCTTCCTTGGCCGCATGTTACCGAACACTGCAATTGATAAATTGACAGAAACCATGACCGAATCCAATGGTTTTTATAAAGATTTTTCTCAAATAAAAGAGACAAACTTGAAAATGTGCCCCAACGTCCAATTCCCGTCCCATCGTGCGGAAAAAACCTTACCTTACTCCAGTCACTCACAGACCACATCTGGCAGTCCAATCCAGTGCATTGCTTCTCGTTTCTTGCCTGAGTAAAAATGAGGACAACGACAACAGAACCCAGTTTGAACTGATATCTTTTATTGTGAGGCGAAAATGTTTAGCATCTTATTGATTGAGTTTGTACATGTATGACCAGAACCTTTCAAGACATCATTCAACAGCACAGTGATTCCTAGTGCAATAATATATAAGAAACATTGTGAAGGATGTGACGAGTAGACTATCATATTGAGAGTTTCTATTGAGAAAAAAAACTTTTGACAAACTAACTTACATTAATTATAGAAGGAATAGCGAGAATTTTAGGACACGGTCCTTTATTGCAGTAACTCCAGGAAATAGGTACAGCTGAACTGTCACATCCCTCCTTAGAACCCACAGCATCACATGCTACTTTTCTTCTTTTAATTCCTTGACCACAGGACACCGAACACTGTTCATACGTGAAAATAACAGAAAGGTGAAAAATCTTACAAAATGTTTCAGACTGTATAAGGAATTTCGCTTTCCGCCTGCTATTTAGAATCGATAGGAGACCTGTGTTAGAACGTTAGTAGGGTTGCAATGCCTCTGAATGCTGCAGCAACCATGGACGAGCACTAATCGAGCAAAGATTAAAAAGACCCGAGGGAGGATATTTGAGATATTAATGAGATCCAGCCTCAAAAGCACAAAGTTCGGCCCGAAAAGATCGACTCCAGAGTTTTACATCAAATATACATTGTATGTGGCATAAATAGCTTTTACCTCAGACCAGGATCCCACAGTCCAAGCTAAAGGACACACTCTCTTGAAACATGACCTAAAAACGGGAGGCTTCTCCGTGATCATTACACATGCCTCGTCTTTTAACGCTACTTGTTCATCATTTCCAGAGCTTCTTACACAAAGCACTGACCGAATTGAGATGCCTTTACCACATGACTTGGAACACTTCTGCCACTGACCCTTCCACCATCTAAAATTGGAAGATAAAACATTTCCAGCTATTTGAATAGCAAATAATAATATGTGGAGAGGAAGTGGGCATAAGGCTCCGCAACAAAATTAAATTTGCCGGCCGGCCTCATAACAGTTTGCCCTTCACACTGCTCTTCAGCCTTTGTCTTTTGATCGTCTTTGTAGTTCTTACTTTTCTATTTTACGTTCTTTTTCAGACTTTTTGGCATCGCACTCCGCCCATCGGACAGCCATAAATATAGAACCGGAGCTTTAGGAATGTTTATTTTAGTGCAAGGGCTGGAGTTTTATCATTTTGTTACACGGTATCTACAGAGCCAAAAAAACTGTGAACTTGAGTTATTTCGAAAACAAAAACAGCTGGTTTTTGTGTGTGTGTGCGCTAGGATTAATTAGAATTGATAAAACACGTCTGCGAGTGTTTTGAACTGTTCCAAGAACTCTTCCTAGAGTATTGCATTTTTGCTATTTTAGGTTGACGTATTGTTCTTGGAATGCGTGCTTTTTTCCAAAACGCAGAACAAACACCACCAAAACAAAAAAAGGTGGTGAGGTAAGGGTAGATTCATTTACAGCATACGGAAATAGCATTGCGTTTGCTCGTTGGAATTTTGTTATTGTTTTTAAGCTCAGCAACAAAATAAAAAAATCCCAACTGGCAAATGCGACTGCTGCGTATGTTGCAAATGAATTTACCCTATAAAGACGCTAATGAATTTTGAAGCTGAACCGTACAAGTGGAAAGAAATTGCTCTAAGGAAGTGTAAACAAACGTATCCGCAACTCGAAATAATGGACAGTGAAAGTTTCTACAGAGTTAGAAATTGGTAAGAATACCGTTTTTTTCTCCTTATTTTATGCTTCTTAAGAACTCGTATCTTGTAATGGATGGTTGCTGTTGTTGCCTTGGTTGAGAAAACTTTGTGTTTCGCCTGCGTTATTGAGAATAAGTTTTTCCCGGCCGCCAGTTTAGGCTAACTTTATATCAATGGCTTATTTACATTTTATTTTGAACTTTTGACTATTTCTTTGAATGGTAAATTAGGTATTAGTATTGGACGATACGCTTGAATACTGAATATATAAACTATGCATACACTATATACTGAGTTTCTGAATGAACTTGACTACTGAAACCAGTTTGTTCGTACACTAGGTTACATGAAGGCGCCTGCTTATTCCAAGACATCCCTTTGGCAGACGGCGAAACGATTTCAAGTATATATGGTAAGTTTAATGATGCTAAACTGACAAGACCGTTGGTTTACTCAAGGGAAAATACGGAGAAAAAATAGTCCCCTCCCATGAGTCCTCGCCCCCCCCCCCCCCCCCCCCCCCCCGGCCAGCAGCGGTGTTTTTCCCCCGCCGGGGGCGGGGGGTGTCGTGCTAGGACTTTTTCTTTTTCTCAGCGGGGGGCGGGGGCGGGCAAGTTTTCTTTTCCTCACTGAGCGGCGGGTTTCAGTAAGGGGTCTGCTTTATTTAAGTACTCCCTTTGGCAGTCGGGGAAACGATTTTAAGTATAATTAGAAAATTTTAGGGTGCTAAACATACAAACACGTTGGTTTGCTTCAAGGGAAATACGGAGAAAAAAATGTCCCCCCCCCTGAGTCCCCTCCCCCCCCCCCCCCCCTCGACTGGGTACGAGTCTGTGGTTTACTCACGTAGGTGGGCAGGGGTTTTCGTTACAAGTCCTTTGCCTGTCATCAGGGCGGGGCATGGCCTTGCAATATTTGTCATCCACCGGCGTCCCGCTTTCCTCGACACACTCTACCTCGGCGCGCTTCGTACCTAATAAACAATTTCAAGCACAAGTCTTATTATCATCCTTTGTTGAGAAAGAAGGATAGAAAAGAGAAAATTATTATTTTTTTTGGCTAGAAAGAGTATTATAGTTTTAGTAGGCATTTAAGTTTATAGCCTGCGAATGCAGCTGCCTCTCATCGCTCCCGGTCGTCCTTGCGACGGGGAGCGATCCCAGGCAGCTGTTTTCCCAAGGTAGCGACTTAAGTCCCAAGGGGACAAAATATATAAAACCCAGTGGCATTAAGCATCGTGCGAGTGCCTTCTACGGTTTTAAAACGTAACAGAAAATCCTGTGAGCAATTCATCCAGTGGATTTAAATGTTAAAACTTCTAAAATTCCAAAGTCTGGGTACAGCGTCTTTTTCCAGGTCTTCTTGATCAGTTCATTTCAGTGTCGTATCCGAAACGAACGGCCGGGAATTCTCTTAGACCAAGTGACCCGACACGAACTGGTCGCCCGTAATGATGAGCCTTAGAGTCTAGCCAATGTCTGAGGTAAAAGGCATAAAGTAAGATCGCTAGGAGGTGTAAATATAGGCGGTCAATAAAAGAAAGCCAGTAAACCAAGTATCACTTACCAATACCACAAGTAGCTGAGCATGATGTCCAATCTCTGTATTTCCAGCTGAAGACAAGTTCGTGGGTTACTGTCTGATTCTTTGGAATAGTGTACTCAAATTTTAATCCAGGATTCTTGGTTTGAAATAGAAGCTGAGAAAAAATTGAAGAAAGGAAATTATTTGACCGTTAGTCTACTTTCCTGAATTGATAAAAGAATAACATCCTCCTGTACTGAGATATTAAATATGTTACAAACTAACTTAGCCCCTTTCTTCTTTTTCTCTTTTCTGTGAGTGCAAAAAACATCCGTCTTGTAAGTTGTTAAACTGTTCACAGTCCTCTATTTTTCCGTAAGATCATCGAGATCGAGCGCTTTGCGTTACGGGTTACCCATCTTGCATGAGTGTCAAAACTTCTTAGGGGGCGGAGGCGGTTTGGGAGGAGGCCCCCCCTTCCCCCAGAGCTATAATCCCCGACGCCTGCCCCCTCGGTACATTTGAAAATAAAGATAGCCGTGACGGTAAGACGCGGTATAACTGAACGATCTCACGAAAAAATAGGGGACCGTGAACAGTTTAGTAAGTTGTTTATTGCATAAGCTACTGGTATAAAGTTTAAAGAACAACCTGATGTGATTTCGAATTTTTACTGCAGATATAGAGTTAAACGTAGGTGTTGTAGACACGCATGTAGTAATTTTGCAAAATCTATGGGTGTTGGGGTACTCTTATTCTATTGTATTTACACATACCGTAGAGAAAACTTGCAAACACATAAAGTTATTGTTTAATTTTGGATGCGCATTTACATCAAATTTTAAAAAATAAAATAAACCATACTAAACAGCTAGGTAAATGCCTGTTTAAATTTCAGCCCACCATGATATGAAGTTCGTCAGTAGTGGGTCCTAGAGCTTCGAAAGTCTCTTTGTTGTGTCTGCGTTTGTAGTATACTGTGGTACCGCCAGCCGTGTATTCACCGCTCTGCTGAATGTACCAATCACCGTTCAGATACCATTTACCACTTGACGACCGCAGGGCTAAATAGTTTGACGCGCCAGCTACTTCTTCAACTCGTATATTTCTGGCGCCAGTTGGAATGACTTTTGTCTCTACGTATCCTGTGTTTTGAGTTTTAAGAAAGCGAAATTAATGAAGGAAAACTGAAAACTAACTTTTCCTGCAGCTTGCACTGCATGCGTTTTGTGGGATAGCGGGAGTATTTCAATCCGCTCGAGTTGGGTGTAAGGTAGCGACAGGCAAGAAACGTCTTCTCGCACTGAAAGGCTAAGAATCAAATCAAAGTTAGCGATTACGCACAGGAAATACCAAACCCCCTCTATTCGAAAACAAAAAAACACAATGTACAGCAGATTGATATTTACGTAGGATTTAAGTGAGCTTATACTGTCTCGTGCATTCTCTTTCTGCTTAATTTTCCTCCCGTTGAAAAAAATCGGAAGGCAAGTGTGGCCGAGCGGTTAACACCTCGAACTCCCGATCTGGAGGTCCGGGGTTCAAGCCTCGCCCCAGTCGCGTTGGTTCCCTACACAAGGAACTTTACTCCACTTTGCCTCTTTTCACCCACGTGTATGAATGGCTACCGGCGACATACTGCTGGGGGAGGGGTAACCTTGCGATGGAATAGCGTTCCCTCCAGGGTGGGAGTAAGCTTCGGCCGTTTGGGCCTTTGACTCGTGGGCGCCTTTACCTTACCTTTACACCTTACCTTTTATGATAAAAAAATTTTTTATATAACAGTGATTAACTGTCAGGACAATTGTGAAACATGCTTTAGCTCTAACGGTGAATGGGGCAGGAGTTATACATTGCATGGCATTTAGAAAGCAACGAACTTGTTTCTTAATCATCACATACTTTAGGAATCTTAATTCACTGCTATCCTCGTAAATCTTGTCTGATGAGTTAGTTTGGTTGAATAGGAAATCTCCTTTAGCCATTCAAGTGTACAGAGTAACACATTATTGACGTGAACGTCCTACCGTAACCGGTTTTTTGGTCAAACGTTGACTTGACGGTCTCACACGCCGTACCATTACCACGACACACGCCGCATTTGTCTTCCTTAGCGGTTGAATGAAGAACATTATCACAACCAACATGCTACAGAAAGAACACACACAAAAAAAAACATTTAAAGGAAAACTTGAACAGGATCTTCTTCACTGTAGAAGTCAAAGCTCGATGGTAAACTTAACTTAATCAGTGATGGGAGCAAAACCTGTTCTTCTACCATTTCACCATTACGGTATGATAAAAATTTTACATTGCTATATTGAGATAGAGACAGCAAAGCCTATCCTTCCTCCTTAGCACGTTGCAGGTGCAAAGTTAAGGTAAAACATGTGTTAAGTGTAGTTAAGGCAAAGACATTGTTGTTTAAGATACGGTTGCCGTCGCCATCTTGAGTGCTCAGTTTATAAAGAGAATAGATCATTTGCATGATGGCGTCATTTTACTACTAGAACCAGAATCATTTTCGTTTTTCCTTTCACATTTAAATTTGGTAATACCGGCAAGGTTTAAATAAAGAAAGCCCTAATTTGCACAAAAAAGCGAAACCCTGAAGGATTCTGCTCGTAGTGGTAAAATGACGTCATCGTGCAAATGGCCTATTAAAATGTACAAACCTCGCATTTGCCATTAATGCAGACATCACGCCTCCCGGGAGCACATGGTGTCCCGTCATGCACTTGATCAGCTAACTTCTTGGAGAAGTACAATCCAAACAGACCTTTAGGTGAACAGTGCAGTTCACATGGAGAAACTTTAAAGCAATAAAACGAAAATGAATACATAATCTGTAAGTAGGTGAATGCATGGCGTTGTTTGCGCAAAGCGTCTCGTTCTCTAACTCTTAGTGCTTCCCGAGTCGCTTTCGGAAATAAAAGCTAAAGCAGGCACTCTGAGATACCGATGTGACACTTAGGGACTTGCAGTTGCAGATTTGTTTCCAGCTTTCTTTCCATAAAAGTTTTTAAAAGGCCCCGAAAATAAGATTCCATTGACTAAACTAAAAATAATGATTAGAATTATTTCAAAAAAAACTTCTCTCCCAGAAGGGACACAAGGAAAAAAAACACAGACAGTATAAACGCCCGTTGCGGCTCTCTTTTTTAAACAACGTTTAAAGAAGAAGTTAGCTGGTGGTATTCAAGTTTGCCAAAAACACAACTGATCACAAATCGCAAAGAAAAAACAAAAACAAAAACAAACAAACAAAATCACAGATATGAGGGGGTTATGAAGTTGCACAATGAAAGACGTTTAAGACTGTTATAGAATCGAATAAAGAAACTGCATTGGCACAAAGATGCCATAGAGCCGTATTAAATTATAATTCCTCACCTTGTGAATAACGGGGTTTCCATTTCCATAATCTGTTGTTTATACGTTTATTGTCAAACCGGGAACATTGCAACTCGCGAAAACTTGCGCTTCCCTCAGGACACGGCTGAAGGGAAAGTAAAAACCAAATTAGTAGACTCATATAATGCCATGAGGTTTTGTGGCCATAAGGGGAAGATTATAGAATGTTCCGTTAGACAAGCTATTAAACCAAGGGGCTTATCGGTTTACCTGTATATTGCAAAGTTTGTACTTCTTCCATTCACCAATACAGTACTTTCCTCCGTGGGCAGGTCTAAGAAATAACAAGCCTAATTACAAGACTCACCAAAATAGCGCTTTAAGTATCAGAAACGTTACTTTCTCTCAGTTGGTAAGGATTTGCCGGGACTTGCCATTCGTATTCATGGTCTTTCTTTTAACACATCACCTCATCTGTTTTCTCAAGGATGACGTAGGCATTGATAGAAATACTCTGAGGACGGATGGAAGATATTGTGTTTACTGTGACAGAATCAAAATAAACCAGAATTTATGTCTAGATCTGAACTTGGTTTTGAGAGCTACGTGGCTCCAGAAATCACTTCTTATGACCGTGACATCGGAAGAGAGATCAAAGAGGGTCCTTATTTCCTATTTATGAATACGTCCAAATTCTCTTGTATGAAAAGTTCATCACCGCTTTCATTGCCTACTTACCGTGGATTATCACAATGTCTCTCTGTAAAGGAAACTCCTCCGCCGCAGGTCCTGGAACATTGACTGTAATCCTTCCACGGACCCCACCCTCCATCAACACTGTCTGGTATCATTCCTCTTTCGATGCAGCTTCCCTTGTAACACCACTGGAGGCATATAGAAAGAGGAAAGACATTTTCCAGTGTCCTCTTCAGTACAGTTGTCTCTAGTCAACTCAGCGTATCAGACTTGAGTTATCATTAAAACACCCACAAGCGGTATGGCAGGCGAAAATGAACCCAGCATCAGTGGTTTTTCAAGAACAGGAAAGTGCTTCACCTCATTACTCAGGAGACTAAATCTTGTCAGCCTATTCATTACAGCGCGACTCTCAAAAACATTCAAATCATTTTTCGTTCAGAGGATAATAACTACCGCCTTTTTGTAACAGACCCTGTAAATTACGACCCATTGGGCGTATATGAGGTACATACATAGACCGTGTTCTATACTTTTCAGAATCATTCATAGTTTGACATGTCTTCTAATTGATCAAATAACAACTGAAACAGGCCATGCTGCGTAAAATAAATCCCCACAGAAAGCCAGATGAGGTATGCAGTCTCTCACGCAGACGAAATATATAGAAACTAACATGATTTTGCGTGATGTAAGAGGTTTTACAATGTAACTAACTCTTTCAGTACTGCATGTGTTCTACCTTATCATCGCCACACTTTGTTCCATCAGCTGCTGGTTCCAGTTTAGAGTGACACGCCCTTCCTACTCGGCACCACAAACGATTACAGATGTCCTGTGGTAAAGTTTAACGAAACCACGATCGATCAAGCCTTAAATTGAGCTTTTATCGCGTTTTTAATAAAGGATATCTATCTACGGCCTAATATGACAAAGCAAGAAAGCACGAAGTGGCTACTTTAGACTTACTGCCTATGTCACCTGGGGAGGTACTTAGTTTCGAAAATCACTGTTGTATTGATCAGAAGGACAGGTTAACATTGGAATTATCTTAAGCAAAAGAAACTAGGAACTAAAACTAGATACGGTTAACACAAAGAACCGGATAATCCGGCATAGGCCATAAAAAACTCATCCGGAATGCACGTATATCGGTGGCAAATTAAAATTTACGAAGAGGTAACCATTGGTATGGTAGAGTGCTACGTTGTTATATTTGATCAGTCACAGCAAAAATTTCACACATACCGTCATGCCTGTGCAGTGAGATGAACTAGGGCCGTACTGCAAGCGACACTGGTGGTCAGCGTCATATATCACCCCAGGCAACATTGTGGGAAATTTGAAGTCATGTTTTGCAGGCTCATCATCAAGACAACGACTCCAACCTTTGCTGCAATGAACAAGTGATCACATGCAACTTAAAAGGAAAAATTGTCTTTTTATTAGCAAAATTTACTTTAATACTTTTTACCCTCGTAATGATTTTTCAAATATAAATTGTTTCAATTATAGTGACTTATAAGTCAACAGGGTTTTTATTTTCTCGAGACATTTAGTTATTTTCTTCGTAAATTTTTATTAGTATAGGCGTTGTTTGGCGGACTCTAAGAAGTATTAAAATTGGCGATCGCTTTTTCCCTCTGATAAGACATGAAGGTCGAGGTTCTTTCAGTTTTTGAATCAGTATGAAAGCGCTGTAAGTCTAAACAGTCGATAGCTTAATCAAGAAGCTTACTTCAAGAAACGCCTGACATAGTTTCTGCTGCACGATGACCATAAGTGTGCGCGACCAGAAGCTTCCAACTGAGGAGACATGAGGAAGGGTTTGTCATGGCGCCATTTGCATTTATTTTCATTCCCATCATGCAACATTCCAAAGCTAATGATATAAAGAAGACAAGAATCAAACAGTAAGTCAAGAATCAAAATTGCCCATATTGGATAGCGGAATTAACTTCGGCGGTCGCTTTCCGAACTTTCTAACTGTAATTTAATTGAAAGTTTATTGTAGGATTTCCGCCGCTCTTTATCTTTTACTTGGGTAAAATTTGCGGCATCTTAACTAAAAAAAGAAGCCTTATTCCAAAACGTTTATCTGGTGGCGCGTGGCTTTTGCTTATCATGTTAAGAACACTTGAATTACGAAAACGATAACAGTCTTGGGCCAGCATTGTTTAAGTATTTAAGTATTAGTCATCTCAAAAGTTTCAAATCAGGCAAGATATTTTATCTTCCCGGCGATCTAAACTGCGCTAAATCCCTCAAGAGCTTGCAAATCAAATTAGTGTCATCAAGATGCCGAGAGCACCTCGTAGACAAACTGGCTGTGTAAGGAAATGTCCTGGTAATATTTGAACTGTTTTGTTCAAGAATTAAGTAGAACTTAATGTCTCTCAACAATACACGAGCGGTTTCCATCACATATCGTGGGTTATCAGCTAATATTGGCTGCAAACCAAGTAAGATTAAAGCGTTTGTGCGTTGTCTTAGTGAGATCCCTTTCTTAGCATATAAGCTGAGGTTATGCCGGAATTTTCAGTGTGTGCTCATACAGTCGGACAAGCAGTTTTCAATAAGGTTGACAAAAAGTTCTTTTCCATGATCTGTTTATCATTTAAGTTTTAAGAAACGCGAAAAAAGAAATTACTTGAGCTGAAATGTATGTATAGAGACCATTCGCATATCACAAAAAACAGGTCTACAATAGATCCAACGTGATAACCTTTTTATTTAGACGGCGTTATTTTAAAATGCCCTTTAGCACCTTTATCCCTTAAAACGATAAGATGCAGTGTGTATACAAGCCTTAAATAATTACGAGAATACAACCTAGACACTTTGGCGTCCACTGCCGGGGCGCGCGCTCGATTCATCTTGTCATATGAGTATTGAGGTAAGAGAAACGCCCTATTAATTCTTGTAGGTTGTAAACTCCTTGAATGCCCTTCGATACCGTTTAGTTAAAAAGCCATTTTGCACCCAATAAACAACGCAAAAGTACACAATTCAAAGGGGACAGAGCAAATAGTTTTTGCTCTGATTATAGAAAAGTCGTGACTGTTTATCAGTAGGATGCCTTAAATGTGTGCAATGCCACATTTGGTTTCGGCACCATTAAAATCAGATGACATCACCATTAGCTAAACTTTTCTTGATGCTATTTTATTTCACTTGAAATTTTGTTTTCTAATTTTGGTCACTGAAAAAAAAAAAAAAAAGCGTTTGTGACACTTTTCTCGTCTTTCGAGCGAACGACTAATCTTGTGAAAGCCTTGTAAAAGGCTTTGATGATAAAATTGTTTCTTTCCGGAAAGAAAAGTGCATTCATTTCTTAACGATTGGAGAGCGAGAGGATAATATATTACTCTTCTCTCGGGAATGGAAGAATTCGAATAAGGAGACCAATATGGGCCTGGCTCAGGCCTTTTTCGACCCCTTAAGGAGATCATACTTCAATACAGCATTAAACATTGTTTTCTTTCTTAAATATATACACTAGTTATTTCCTTACGGACGACCAAACGTGATACGTTTATGGGCTAAAATATTAGCTTTCCATCCCAAAACCCCCTCCCAAAATCTTTAATTTCTCCGTCACTTTTATATGGGAGCCTCCCCCCACCGCCGGGAGTCTTCAATGCTCGCAGTTTTTATTATCGTCAGTTTTCTAGACCTTTTTGAAGTAAAAAAGCAAACAAACAAACAAACAAACAAAAAAGCAAAAGGAATGAAAACAACGACACTTTTCTCGTTTCTTCCGCCATTGGCTTATCTTTCAAATGGTTTTATGAGAGAGTTTTCATGCAGAAACTCTTTCCAAAATATTTGACTGTTTCATAGTGGGTCAAAAAAGGGCAGGATGATCTACATGACTGTGTTAATCTCTATACCGGCAGCCAGTCGTGCAAGGTGATCGCGGGGACAGTAAGATTGAATGCCTAAACATATATGTGTAAAGAATATAGGAATTATAAGAAACGAAAAAAGAGGGTTAAAAGGAAGAGAGTTCCTTTCTCCTCCAGTTTAGCTACCCTTTTAGATAATTGATCAACAGTCACGTTTAAACTTTTACAAGGTAAAGGGAACAACTGGCCATAACAAACTCAAACTAGTGCAACTATGCACTCTTCGGTCAGTCTCTGAAATGTTCGTTGCCTATGCTCTCTGCATTTGCCAAAAACATTTGCTTCCTCACTGCATTTTTTTTACAAGGATCAAAGACCAGTGTTTGGAGAAAGGGCAGGAAGATTGCATGGTTGAATTACAGGCTACCATCCTTACTTGTGTCCTATCTCATGGGCGATGGTATACGCTAACGTAAGGCCACTGTCTTCATTCACATTGCAGCTTTTATCTCTGGTGCAGAGACCGTTCACCTGTGAAAGGCCTAAAAATCGATACGAGATTAGCTAAATTGTATATTTATGTATAAGGGCTTCCACTGATGTTACGGCAGTACAGTCAGTTTTGTTTAATCCTTTTAATTTGTTAACCGTAATCGCTACAGGGCTCAACGTTTGCGAAGAGACTATATATAAATGACAGAATCACAGCCTCGTGACAAACAAATATGTCCCCACGCTTTATATCAAAGTTACAATCAACAAAGATTTGCTTTGAAAAACCTTTCGGCTAACAAGTTTTCAAATACCCCGATTGTAAGTTGCTCTATTCTTATTCAATTTTAATTGTTCGTTCGCGTCTTCTGGTGTATTTGCTGCAGGGTATTATTTAAACCTTTCTTTCTTCCTGCTTTGAAAGTCTAAAGTGGTCATTTTGTGTTTCGCCCAATTAAGAAGCCATCTCTCACTTTCCTAGTGATGCTAAATTTCACGACAGAGATTTCGTGGTAGATTTAGTGCGTACGCGTATTTCTGGATTGGTCGTTTTTGAATAATTTGAGAAAAAAACCAGCTTAATTATTCGAGTAAAAGTGTCGCAATAGATATATACAGGAAGTGCTTTGTTTTCTATTAGAACAACCTTTGCGTTCCCTAATAATTTATAATATGATTGCTTTTTAAAAAACTCGTATATCTGCTTTCAATAAACGGCTTTAACAAGACAAGAAACAGGTTGTCAGAATGGCTAAAAATGGTTGCTGTTTTCCTTACCTAATGTTTCACAAGGTTCATTAATTCCTTTACAAATATCATGCCTACCAAAAAAGAAACGTTTGAGTAAAATCTTGCAATCATCAACAGTAAGGACACAGTTGCCCCTTTCTCCCTTTATAAGCTACATAGGCAGATACCATTAAAACTTGTAATGGAAAAATATTTTCGTATTCTTATATACCAGGCACCACGGAAGTTAAAGGCAAATCAGGAAAAGGCCCCTAGGCGTTCTCAGCTCCGTCAAACCCGGACTAACGTGAGCTGTAACGTCACTGAGAGACTCTCTTTCTGCTACCCTAGACTATTCGCAGACAAAGGGGAAACAGAGAACTCCTAGGACTAGGCTGGACAGATTAATAAGTGAGTTAGAAAGGGAAGAGGAAGTGCGGGCGAAGACATTGGAGATATTCACTGAAAATTAAAAAGATCTATTTCAGCCCCAAAGTGCCAGTTCAGCCCTGCAGGCCAAAGTCTCATTCAGCCCTTCCTGGAGCCATTTAAGCACAATCAAAAGGTTATTCCAGCCCAGGCTGGGGCCCATTTTAGTCCTTGGGTCCAAATCAGCCCTAGGTAATTGGACAGTGTTGGCCCTGAATTAGACTAAAAAATAGGACTGCCGTGTGTTTTTAGGCTAAAACAGATCCTCTGATATACAGTGTGGGAAGGTCATTCAAAGTAACGTCAGTAACCTACCTTGTGATTAAGACTGCTATGTCATGGTGATTAGGATGGGCCTCTGATTTGGGGTTGATGAGAGAAGCCCAGCGACAGAAGTGTTTAAGCGTGTGCCCAGCATGGTGAGTGACTTTCAAGGAGCTCTGGGAATTAAAGAAAACAAACGATTTTCAAAGATCACACCTTTGTAGCTCAACGCAAGGTTAAAGAATAAGTCTATATATCATGAGTTATACACTGAAAACAGGCTCTGAGGTTGCTTCTGTAGACACGGTGAAAACGTATCTGGCAACTTTCGGAAAATGCAGGGGGATTTTATGGAAATTCCTACCATAGGAAGTCTTCGTAATCGCTTCTTACGCGAGAATCTAAATTGATACTGAAATACTGAGAAAGCCGACAGATGATATTTTCTGATTGGATCACGATCCAACTCTTACCGGATTTTCCTTGAGAATCATCAATCGAACGAGTACAATGTTTATCGCTGTGCCAATGCTTGGATCTCTAAATATGTTGCTCACCTAAAAGAGATAAAAAACAATTCCATCTTCAAAAAGTGGTCGCGTTTGTTTCCGAGCGATGTTCGTTCATGTGAGCTTCTAATTACAGAGCTTTGACTGAACTGAAACTGAATCTGTGGTAGCCTGCGCCACAGATGGAAGTAAACTTCTGAAAAGTCCGCCTGCGAGACAGCCCTGAATTCCTTGTTCTGAGCCCCCAAATGTGTTCCAGGATGTGAGTACGCCTCACGATTGGCCCGTTAACAGTGCCACTGCCGATTTTCCAATCAGGTTGAAGTAATATATCTAGCCTGAGATGCAGTGTTTCATCACCAGTTGAAACACTGAGAAGAGAGTTGAAAATACGACACGCAGCGGAGTATTTTTTGACTAACTTCGAGGTGTTTCATCTGGTGATGAAACACTGTGTCGAATGCTTGACATTACGTCTGAAACAAAATGATTTTAGAGGGAAAAATTAAGGATGCAAAAAGGAGCAGTTTTTCATCTGATTTCCAAACACTCACTAAACTTTAATTTCCTTGTATTTTCTTTATGAATTATTAATGAGTTTGAGAAGAAAAATTCGAATCGTATTTCCCGTCATTCACTGAGTCCCTCGGGGGAGCCGAACAAGTATCTCGGCGCTGCTTCGCAGACGTTACTAACGGGGGTTAGATCACGTCTGCAACGCAAGGCTAGATCTGTAGTGGTGAATAGGAGGTGGTAGCTAACGAGAAGTCGCTCTTGGAGGTTTGACTGTATAAAGTGAAAATGGCGAAAATACGAGGCTTATGCAGCGCAAGACTTCTCCCATCCGAGATAACATTTTCCATTTATGCACCTGGCTCCGGTTGTTCAAAAGATGGATAGCGCTATCCACCGGATAAATCACTATCTAGTGGATAAGTATTAGGAAAAGCAATTGTGCTAACTAGTGGCTAGAGACTTATCCGATGGATAGCGCTATCCACCTTTTGAAAAACTGGGGCCTGAACTGAGAAAACAGCTGAGCTTACCTCCAATATGCTATTTATACACTCATCGACGTCTAGTCATTTTTCTTTATCAACTCCTTTCTTTTAGTACACACTACCTAACTAACTCACAGTAAATGATAACATACCATATTTGCTATAGTTAGCAAGTATTCCTCCAGTCCGTCTTTGTAGAACTGGTACATGGTTTGATCAGCCACCATCAACATCTCAACATTCTTCTCCGTACTTACTGAACGCCTTGTACGTCTTTTCGGCATTACATTCCTTTCCGAGAACGGGGCATGCGAACGTCGTTTAATTGGTGCTGAAAAACGGTAGAAGCAAGTGAGAGAAATTTGGTATCGGTACTGATATCATCAAATTTGGGCGAGTGACTCAATTGTAACTGATTGACAGTGCTAGGAGAAACATAGGGGATATATCAAGGAGAGACAAAGAGATACATTATCAACGCCACAATTATGAGAGCCCTGAGGAAACCGTTCTTTTTTTTATTCTCTTGTTTTATCGTTCAAACGGACCCCCGAGGGACAAGGTGAACTCACAATAGTATAGAACAGTTTGCATTTCCTTGTGCTTTTACGCAAACACAGAAAAAGTTAAGCAAGCACAATGGTATGCTGCCATATTAATGTTTAAAATGTAGACAGAGAATATATACCTTGGTCATTGCAGAACGTTCCATTCTGTTTCCTTGGTAACATACGAACTCTCACTGGGTTCTTGTACACCACATGAGGATGTTTATCGACCGTGTTTGACGAATTTCTTTCTTCTACTGGTTCAATAAGAAAGTGATCGCCATCTTCAGTGTGGATGAGTCCTTTCTAGAAGCAAAAAAGAATCTTGTCATTCACGCGTGTACATGTAACCTATTTCTATGAACTAGCTCAGGCTGTCTTTTCCTAAGAAAGATTGGGTCTTCAGTGTATAGTATTTATTCGTCCGTCGTTTTTCCAGGTCTTCACGGATATAGGCGCTAGGGTGACCTGTCCAAGACAAACTCCTTTGATAATATTCAATATAACCACGTGACCCGAACGCACTCCATGCCGCATAGAATTATGGGACATAGGGGTAAGCCAACTTCAAACCAACCCCTTTTCACTCCTTAGGAGAGAGCTTAGATTTTACTCATACATTAGTTTATTTGTTTATTTGTTGTTGTTGTCATTGTTGCTGTTGTTTTAAGTTCTTCTTACGGTTGTTGTCGAACCACCACTGTACTTCAGAAAAAAGTACGAGATGGAAATATCATTAACGAATCAAAAAAAAATCTTGCAGTAATTTAATCAAGTTATGTTATAGTATTTTAAGTAAAAGCAGACAACTTGGTATCTAAAATGTGATAATTAGGTAGGACGTTTTTCAGCATGTTATGTTCGTGAAATAAGCGTAACCTTTGATAATACAGTTAATTTAATTGAAGGTTATAAACCCTCGAAATTTCCGCAGTCTGTTTTATTACTTTGGTGATTGAGGGTCATTCAACATGTAATGTCTATACTTCTTAAATAACTATATAACCCCAAAAGAGGCATTGTCGTTTACTTGGCTCGGTGCTGAGGAAACAAGGTCTTTACCGCGCATAATGAATAGACACCAAGGTGTCATCATCATGAACTAACTAATAAACATTTATTCTTAAATGAAACTCCGTTTAGATTTCTATGACAACATAGTGTACATCGACAAAGCTATACTGAGAGCAAATACCTTTCTAATAAATATAAATCACTTGACAAAGGAAAAAACAAAACACTTTTAAAACAGCTAAAGGTCATGGCTCTGTTTTGAGGCGCTATTTTGTTAGAAAAGTCGACATCGATCATATGATGCCACTCCTCTCTTGAAATCAGTGCGCTCTTTATTTTCCACAAGTTTCGCGCTTTCATGGTAGGGAAATTAAGCGGTCTTGGGGTTTTTCAGCAAAAGGGCTCAGCATGCCTGCGTTCTGCAAGTGCTAGAAACAACCTGACCTTTAGGAAATTAACTGTTAAAAAAAATAAAAACATAATGAGTCATTCCCTAGACCACCTACACGCTATTCGTACTATCCAAAGAATTTCACCTTCTGAGTTCACTTTAGATCACAGGGTCGTCAGTTTTCCTGGCGAGTAAGGCGCGTGCGTTAGAATATGGATGCACTCGGTGCATTCGTTTCCCGAGGCACTCGGTGCTCGCTAAAACAGCTAGTAACACAGGAGTCTTTCTGTCAACAACGCTAGAATTACGAAGGGACAGCCGACCCACAAAATGGCCCTTGAAAAATTTGGCAAAAACATTTATTCATCTTCCAGTGTGTGAGCACCACAAAAAATGGTTTTCACGTTCGAGTATAGAATAGGCCAATCTTAGAGAATTCCACTATTACAAACAGCTCCCTTGAATGTTCAAGTAGCATGGCCATGGCGGAATGGGTGTTGTGTTCATTGAGTTATGTTCCTAGAGTACTTCGTTTGTTTTTAGGAATATTCTGAGTAAAGAAGACAATTTGGAAAGGTTCAAACTCTTTGAAGCCGACTTCACACTCTTCGGCTGACTCGAAGACTTTTCGAACTAAACATTGTCCTGCGCACTTCTTTACTGATTTGCTTTCATATGGTTTATTCTAGACTGATGAAACTTATCTGATGATCAATATTTGCCATATTTAAAAAAATCAATTAGTGTTTGCACCAAATCTTAACTTTGGAAGTTAATTAATTATTTATCAGCCAGATTAAAAAATAATCTCCAGAATCTCTCGAGCGCGGAAAACATTTCCACCTTTCTTCCACGTCAGGATTTCCTAATTCGATAACTAGAAATAGATACTGTTACCAATTAAAGCTTCCCCTCTCATCTTAACCTTGTTACTTGTATAAAATGACGATTTGTCTTTAATAGACGAAGAAAGATGGGCATTTGATAGTGTCCTTGCTTGATAAAAAGGCGAATCTTGCTTAAGCAAACAGCGTTGAAAATCTCTATTATCTAAGTAAACATTGTTTCTCTGTAGAACTGTCGGAAGGTTACGGTATTTTCGTGTCACGATATCAGTTGTCGTCTGGGCTACTCACTCTGTTGTGACTTTGATAAGGGGCCGATGAAAGAAATAGCGATCCGTGAGATAGTACTTGAAAAAGGGAGTATGTACACAGAAAACCTTGTAGTTTGCCTCAGTTTAAGCAACGAACCTTTTTTCGCGAGAGCCTCATGATGGATGACACAAAAACAGTGCAAGTGGTTTGTGGACAGGAAATTCACTTAAACTCAAAGCTTCTTAAGCAATCATAAAGACAAAAGGCGTTATTGATAGTCTGAAAATAAGACGTGCGTAAAGAAGGTTAACTACTGTTATTTCCATCAAGATGCATTAACGTCTAAACCTCATTTATAATCCTTCCTCCTAAGTTGCTCCCGGCAAGGCAGGGGGAAGGAGGAACTATGCATGGCAGGAATACGGTGAAACCCCGATAATATGGACATTGAGGGGGCCATAGAAAGAGTCCGTATTATATGTTAAGCGGGTTGAAACTTTATATTGAAAATGTAAGGGCTTTCTTTCCTCAGGGACAAAGCAATCTGTCCGTAATAATGAGGTGTCCGTAAAGCAGGATTTGACTTTATGTGGACGAATATTTTGTGCGCGAGTTTTGGGGTTCCCTATTGTCGCCATCATGATGTGACAGATTTGGTCAGATAAAAAAAGAGAAATCTTGACCTTAAGACAAATGAAAGAAATGCCGCACGGAGGCAATCAACTGGTCCTACTGTTGGCGTTCGAGTAGTTTCTTGGGACACGCAAAACGTTTTTGGGATGTACATTCCGTTGCAAATGTCGATCGCAAACGATTTCGCGAAAATTTCTCAGCTGGTTGAATTTTGGAAGACATCGACTAGCAGCCAGAAATATAGACTTGTCTGATACTGTATTTAGGGGAAATAGCCTGCTTGCAGTTTCTGACAGCTGGTAATCCCAAACACCTATTGAATTCATTTCATTTAGATGGTTTGCGCTCTTGTATACGACCACCTTGCCTTTGGATAGGTTGTGCTTGTTGTTTGCTTAGTCCGGGCTGGCCCACCCAGTATGTCTTTTAGCCTTACTTCCTTTTCTTTAAGTTCCCCTGCAAAATGTTTGTAAAAGATTGCGAGGTCTTCGGTACCGCCTACCTAAAAACTTACCGAAATGTTATAAAGTTAACAGAGCTGCTGACAGCAAAAACTAGATATTTAAACTCTTTAATTGCATTCCGCACGCAATTCGCTCGTTGCCCCTTGAGTGTTTTTAGAAGCCCTGGAGCAAAATACCATACACTTTTAAAACGTGTTCGTACAAAGTATTTATAATTTTGAAACGGAAAAGGGAAGCTTAAGCAATGTGCTGACAACCATATCACAACAAACAATTTTTACGACCTTTACCTATACCGTGGGAAATAAAAACGATACTTCTTTATTACTGAGTCTGTCTTCATCTGTACAGAAATCTTATGTCTGAGAATTAAACAAAGTGCGCTTTCTTATGATTACACATCTTTGCATTTTTGTCACTACGTGAGGTTTTTATACTGGACCCCTTTGCTGTCCATCAATTTCTTTTACGTCACAGGCATATGACAAAACGTACGTTTTTTTCTTTCAATTATAACGTATCCGGAAACGTATTCCAGTATTCTGTGTGCTGGTTATAAGACCTGAGGGGAAATAAGCTTAGCGTTCCTGGAAGTAACTTGTCATGCAAGGCTTATTCTACTAAAGCCGTCTTTCCTTTCCTGGGGATAACTCGAACTTAAGGTTATTAAAATTCTCCCAAAAGATGCTTTTGCAATCTCTTGCTGCCACTTAAAATTAGCTTTGAAGTGTAAGTTAAGGTGGCTTACAGAAAAGCACTGTGTTTTTTTGCTCAACCGCCAGGTTGATAACCGTAATGAATAAAACAGAATCAACAATCCGGCTCACTGAATAATTTTGGGCCTAACTGTGACACACGCACCCTCTGCCCCATCTTGTTGCGTTTTTTTTTTAAACAAAATAACACAGTCTTAAAGACTGAGACATATTTAAAGCTTTGGTGCGCGGTACTTACCAGACCCTGGCAATAGCTAAGAGATACTCTAGAATTCGGTTGATCTACGATAGTGCCTTGGTAATGACAGTTGGGATTATGACGTCTTAAGTGACCATCCTTCTCAATAACCAGTCCTGGAGCTGTAAATTTCTTGCTCTTCGAGAGGCGAAGACGCAGATTTTTGCCGCCGAAAGTAGGCACTTCGATGTGCAAAGGTTCCTCTTTAACAGCTGCTGGTCTTTCATTGTTGTGCGCTTCCTCTGAATGTTGTTTGCGGTAAAATTTACGAGCCATATGTGCGACAAATTTCGCTTTGCTATCTAAGACCGCAGGGAATGTCACAAAAGGAATGACATTTCCATTTTCTGTTTGAGTTTCTAAGAGCAAAGAACAGAGAAATAATTACGATTCGGCCGCGGGAGACGGGCAGTGTTTGCAACATGTGACTAATGCCATCATCAACAAGATCAATTCACGTGCGACCCGAAAATTCATCATAAAGAGTTTAAACGATTACTTGCATAAATTTAACCTACCGGGCCTTTTTCCTTCGATGCTGCTTAGCAATCCCGCTAGTTTTACTAGAACAACGAAAACACCCATCGAAAACATCTTAGTATTATCTGTGGCAATCTACAAAAAGAGAAGAGATACATTTATATAGCAATATTTCTATGAGTATTGCTGGGTAGTTAAACATTACACAAACTTATACACAGTATTTAAAACAGCCCCACAACCTTACCTTCTACCCTCCAAAATGCAATAATTTGTTTCCAGTAATACAGTCGAGTCCCAGTAAGACCCAGACAGTGCGACAGAATATTAGAGAATTTGGTTTAAATCAGTGTTTCCAAGGACAAGAGCGACGGATAATATGCAGACAGAGTGAATTGGTCCGGCTAGAATGTTGTTATTATTCTCTGACACTTATCTTTCACTTAAGCACATTATCAAAATATAGCAAAAAAATTTGAAGCCTGGAGATCAGCTCTCCAGACAAGAAAATGCGAATCAGTGAAATATGTTTACCCAGGATCACGAGTTGTACCATCCAACCATTGACGCAGTCCGTGCTCCAACGGTTACGGATTGCGAAGTATTATATGGACCTCAAAAGTAGCAAAATATTGACGGGACCTGGATTCCCGCTAAGTGACAGATATCTGGTTTCAAATCTCGAGTTATGAGAAACAAAACACCCAATAAATCTGCCAGCTCTTTTGTATCTCGATCTCAGCGTTCCGAAGCAAACTAAATGGTCAGCATGGTGGGCACTTTTCTTTGTTAGTAACTCACTATTAAGGAAAGTGCTCTTGTTGAAACCTTGTGTTTTATTTTCCAAGAGTGTTGACGTGGAAGATTACAGTTCGATTACCTTTTTTCAAATTTTTGAGGGCTTTTTTGTTCCACTTGTTTGAATAGCCGTCATTCTCAGTCACCCAAATACCAAAAAATAGCAGTGTTTGACAGCTACATTGATTAAATTCAAAGAAAGTGGTGTTTATTTATTTGTTGTGGAGAAAGAAGAGTACATTCCAAAGCTGAAACACTTCCGTTTTAAGGCCTAAGAGGCAAACAAGACGGAAGGAATGAAAATGTTTTCTTTCAAAATTTCTCTATCGGCTTTTCGTACACTGTCCGATGCGAGTGTCAATCCGCGTACCTTATCATGAGCTGCTTTACAGCTTGATTGTATTTGTTTTTATATATTGTTTTAAACAATCTTCGATTTCCTTTCATATCATTTTGACAAGCGAATACTGCGGTTCTTTTAATAATTGTATTATCATTGCTATCTTGATTAAATAGTTTTTAAACTTACTGTAAATAGGATGGCATTTGACTCATCTCTATCCCGTGGTCTCACCAAATGCTATCGATCGTGAGAAACGCGCCCGGTCTTATCCATAAGAATTGCTCCAATGTAGGGATGAGTGCTGAAAGTTAGGGTTCCGAAAACTTCTTGTACTTCGGACTTCCTAAACAAAGTATGTCTTCGCTTTATAAACGTTTTATCTGTCGTACCTAACCGTTATTCCATTTTGTCTTGATTAAAAACAAGAACAAAAAAGAAAATAGCGATTCACTATGCAAGAAGATAATTGCTAAAGAACTTTTGTAATCGGCTCCTG